AATATCAGTAGCAGTTGAGTTTATCTCACTATTGCAGATAATTCTGGAATTTCCTTGGGTATCCTAAGTTTAATGTAAGTCAAAGAACTATTTAAAATTTCACATCAGTAATAACATTATAATTATATAGTCCCTTTCCTCTGTGGGTTCCTGTCTATTATTCTAACAACTAGAACATACACTTCCCAAGAGAATCTTTCTGGTTAAAGAAAGAAAATGTGTCTTTGAACCCAGGAGTTAAAAATTATGCTTCAATTTAACATCGTTTTAATTAATTTGTCTCAGAAATTTGAAATGACAGCCATCTATATAATAGAATCATTTACCAAAATCTTACCAAAACTCTTTCTACCATGTTTTCTCCAAAAATGAAATCAGAACTGCAGCTTTTAAAAGAGCACTTATCTTCATTTAGTTGACGTCTGAGGAAAAGAAATAAGCATTTGCTATTTTAAAAGTATGAATAAAACCATTTCAGATCATAGCAGGTGAAATAACCAGGTGAATTAATAGATTTATGTAAAGTACAAAAAAAATTTACTGGTAACTTTTCTTTATTTAAAGTTAAAGAGAAATGAAGGAAAAATTGAGATAGGTACTTCCAGAGGTGGATGACATTCCAAATATTTAATAACTATTACAGCACTGGTAGAGACCAGTCCAAACAGATTTTGTGCCAGTCACTGTACTGGCTGCATGACCAGCCAGGTGTGCTGTCCAGCCCTTACCTTTATGGTTTTCCAGTATAGCTTCCCCAATCTCTAATCTCCACTCTCCTCTTTCACAAGTGGCCAATGCTTTTAGCAGTCAGAAGTCACCAGGGCCAAAGCAAAGCTAACTGACTTCATAAGTTATACTTGAGTGTGCATTGGTTTAATCTTTTTTTCCCTCTCAGAAACTTTTTTTTTTTTTTTTAATTTAAAAGTGATTTGCATGATGAGAAACTCAGCGACATGCAGTCCTCTAGTCATAGGAAGATATGGTCAGGGTGCCTTCGTTTCCTCCTGAATGTGCACGGTAGGCAATTGCCAGTGCAGCTGGGGGAGCCCTAATCATGTAAGTCAGCTTATGTCCACAAATAGTCTTCATCTTCTCTCACATCAAACATTCCTTCATCACTGGTAATACTAGCAATATGAACTTTTTATACTGCTTTCCTTTTGATAATAAACAATGAATAATGCCAAAAATGGTAAAAGAAAAAAAAAAAGAATGTCACAGAAAGGAAAGGCTAATACACACATAATTAATGTCTAAATAAGTAAAAGTTTAACCATACCTTTTTGAACCGCTCTCACGCAAGTCAAAGAGACAATAAAGATTGTCTGATATTAACATTTAAATATCAGAGACATTTTGAACAGCATTTTAAACTTGTATTCTTTACAAAATCTCTTTCAAACAGAAATCTTGGCATTTTATTTGTATAGTGTCAGAAAATTATTTTCCCTAAATGGTTTTAATGATAAAAGAAAGCAAGAATGAAAGGCAACACTTCCATTTCCCCATTGTTAACGTACCCTACTGATGTA